GCGCGCTCGTGTAGCGAATTCGAGTGCGGCTTTTGGGAAACTGGAACATTGCGTGTGGAAAGATCATCATCTGTTAGAACCAAAGCAATGGTGTACAAATCCATGGTTCTCTCGGTCCTTATCTATGGATCGGAAATGTGGACAATGTACATAAAGGATATCCGGTCTCTGGAAAACTGCCATCAACAGAACCGGAGCCAAGCATCATCTATCACCAAACACTTCTTGACAACTCGACTTCAGCTGAACCCGGATACTGCGTACAAGATGTTAGTACGCAACAAAAATCCGATAATTTTGGCAATTAGAGAGGCTTTGCTAATTATGTTTTATTAACCTGTGTTGTGTGCATAGAAACTGTTGTGACAGTCAATTAGGTTACCGTGGTCTTGGTCTTGACATTTTGATTGGTGTGCACATTTCCCCCCCCCTTTACATAACTGTCTATGAACCCCGCTTGTACTGCGCCTGCGACTGATGAGAACAATCGAGTTGTTGACATATCGTGACTTATGTATTCTCAATGCTCTGACGAAACAGTGCCTTCGCCGGATTCTGCAAATCCGTTAGTGGGACAATGTGCCGGAAAGTGATGTGATCCGCCGGAGTGAAGTGTAGTCCATGTACGGCATACTACTGCTGCGACACCTCCGATGGCTTGGACATGTTCGCCGTATGGATGCAACGAGTAACTCGAAGCAACTGATGTACGGGCAACTGAGCGCAGGCGGCCGGAATGCAGGCAAACCAAAGCTGCGCTACCAAGACAATATCATTGTTAGTTTGTCCCTGGTAAGTATTAACCTAAGTGTTTACGAGGAGATGGCAACGAATCGTTTCACCTGGCGCGATCTCATCCCGCGTACCGTTGCCCAAGCGCAAGAAAGACAGTTGGTGCATCAGGAAAGTAAAAGTGAAGCACGCATACATCATCTGTCGGCGGCTTACTATTCTTCGGCTACTCCCACATAGAGCTGTAGTGCATGCGGCCGTGTGTGATTTAGCCCAGCTGGTCTGGCCAGTCATCAACGAGGCCATGATGGGGATATGCCGAACCGGTCGACTGTTAGACCGAGCACCACGGACTGACATGTGGCACTTGGTGGTACGCAACTGAGAAGGGACAGTGTACGTTAAACCGGCCAAACCTTATGGAGCGAGTTGAGTCAGAACGGAATCCCCGTTCGCTCTCAACATCGGACGGGAGGACTTTTGCACTGATACTACACTAATTCAACGAGTGTACCTATACAATTCAACGAGTGTTGCGACGCTGCGACCACCATCCACACTTTCTACAAAGACGCAGGCGCACTGTATTGGTCTTAGTGGTAATCTGAACACAGGTGCAGCCATACGTTTGCGCCTGTGCTGAGGTTTGAGGTTGCATATTCTATGCTTCTTCACCACAGTTGGGCTACACTGACTTACCTCATGTTACCTTATTTTACCGTACCTTACCATTACCATATCATCTAGACATTTTACTTATTACAATATCCAAAAGAAATGCTCCTCGTTTTCGTGGTAAATTGGCAATCTGATGGACATGTCCAAGTTGGATCATGCATTCAAAGATAACTCGCTCCGGAACATCCGTGGAAAGTGAACAGTGCCGGCAAATAACTGACTAGCGACTAACATGCTGATGTTGATGTTTCATGCTCTGTTTCACATGTTATCTGTTAGAATGATTGGAGCTGTAATTCTTATTCTTCATTCGTCAACTTTAACTTCACTGAGCTTATGCAAATCAGTTGACTCCAGCGCACCATTTCCTTGCCAACTTGAACAGTTGCATACCCACCCTCCGTCATCTCCTTTGTGTATCATTCTTATTCCATCGCTAATGTAAATTTCGCTTAGGTACAGTTTCACTTTAGAATGATTAACTACTGCCTTAATGCAGTGTAGCAGCATTAATGCACCTGTCCAAGTGACACCTACTAGAAGTTGTATTGGACATGGCCAATCTTCTGGGTAGACTAAGAAAAAGGTAATGCCAACGGTAATGGTACATCAGTGTCTTAGTAAGTTACATCGGTAAGGAATCGGCGCATAGCGACAATGGTTTATTTTAGGAGAACCGAATGGCTGCACCCGAGACATACGATGCAGACCGTTACCAAATAGCTTGTGGCCACAGCAGGATACACAACGGTATGTACAAACGGATGAGTACTTGGATGATAGCCATGCTACGTCTTGGACATGTATAAAACAGTGCAAACACTGTTTGGAAAACCCCATGTTTGACAGTGGACACCGGGATTTACCTAATCTAGTACTGTGGTAGTTTTCGTGCCAACGAGGCCGTAAGCGGCGAACCAACAGTGCGTATTGGGTACCTATGCTTGTGAAAGTGGCTGTTAGACTGACCTTCAAACCAAACCCATACACGTTTGTAGTTCATGAGGTCTATTGTGTCTATCCAGTTTGTGACAATTGATACTTAAGTTTGGACAAACACGTGCATCTGTTGTGTTTGAAGTGTCATTGGACACGAATGACGCCAATCCATGTAAATATGTATACCGAATGAATTCGACGAGAATACTCATACCGATTTTTTACGGCCAGTGCAGGGATGTTGCACTGGGGTAAATGAAAAATAACATTACGAGGACATGAAGAAGGTGAGTTTATGAAACACTAATGTTGATTTCAGATGTTGCGAATCCAAGGAAAATTTCAATAATACGAATTCCGTGGACTGATCCAAATGGCAGTTGCCTAGGTGCAGGTGAAGGCACTATTGCACACGGAATATCAGCACAATGCGTACGCTCCCATTCGACTTACTAATCTAGGCCAATAAGGCGGTGCATGTAGTCCGTTTGCCTGCGTGATGATTACACTTGCATTTCAGAAGTAGGTGTTGTTTGAGCTCCCCGGTGTGGCTATGCTTGATGTGAATGTTGACAAGGTATCTATCTGTCTATTACCCTACACCTCGGTTGCTGGCTCCAGGAGACAGTTGCTCGTTGCTGCAGGGGACGGGATGCACCGTCCTCGAGATGGTGCTAGGCTCAAAGAGTGGTTCCATGCAACCTGGGGGGAACGGACTACGGCCTAGCCACCGCCTTGTATACGTCTGACGTGCATGCTTTCCCAATTATGCCGGAATGCTTCTGCTCTGCCTGTTGAAGGAGTGTGGGCTGGCTCCGTTGATGAAAAGTGGCTACCATCCACATGCCTCCTGGTCTTATTCCTTCGGGTTTACACAGGATATGGGGTGTGTGGATGGTGCAGCGCAAGCCACCCATCGTACCTTTTTAGACGCAGGCGTCCTGGGGTTGTCCCCATGCAGACCACAGCAACAGACAAATCCGAATACGGAAGCCTCCAATCCATACGGATAATATGGAATGGATGCTTGCTTTGCCCTTAGACTAGTTTGGAGCATGGAGTGGATCAGTGACGCGAAAGCGCAAATTGAAGCCCGCTTAAAGGCGAAATGGCAGCCTTGCTCTTTTTCTACTACATATTGGTCATTATACGTTGTATTTGCAAAATAAAAAAGCTTTTACGTTTAAAATTTTCTCATGTAATTTTGGAAGGAATACATAAAATAGAACGAATGATATATGTATCATCAACTGACATGCTAGCAATTAATTGTGCCTCGCCGAAGATAACCACACATTACAACGATTACGATGCAACAGTTCAAAAGTTCAAGGCCAGTTTGCGTGAAGATATCATAGTTCATTATTTCATAAGGAGCGTACACTGCTCGTCAACCGTCTGTGAAGCGTTGCTAACTGTCTCCTTCTCCAGTCCTAAGATTAGACAGCACTGACGGACTCTGGCATACGCTTTATCAAGTAGATAGAGGATTTTAGTAGAATGTATCAGTAGGTGTTCACAGTAGCTTCCAAGTTAGGTTTCCTCCCACGCATGCGATAACGGCCATTTGGTTTCATTTGCACCTCTCCGTAGTGCACTTCGGCTGGCTCGCCGAACAACCTCCCGTGGTGCCAGCTGGGTGGTTCAGATTAATCCCGTTCCAGCGAATGCTTCGGCGGCGGTGTTCCAGGACGTGCTGGGTGAACGTTTAGCAGTCGTTCTGCCTATACAAAGCCACCGAAGTCTGTTTAACAACACGACGGGGCGGATGTGACCCCCTACTAAATAAAGCCAATACTCTTCGCTTATCCGGATCATCTTCTTCACTCCATACACGTCAGCCCTCCAAGCCGAAGATTTCCTTCGAATCCTTCTCATTCCGACGATCTGAATAAAACCAACACCAAAAGCAGTGCCAAATTAGTGCAGTCAGCTTACACAGATACCTAAAGTCAAACTTACATACATTCATATGTATATAAACAAATAGATCCAGTATCTTACTGCTAATTTTATTTTGTACAATTATTAATCAATCCTGTTTGTAGTACTACGATCATTCCTATACAGCGTGCCTCGCGTGTCGCTAATAAAAATATTCATTTATTTATCAGGAGCCGAACACATGACCACAATACTACAGCGGCCACGGATATAGGTGACGGGCCGTCAGATATTATATGGTTCTTGCGATCTAGTTGGGCTGGTTCACAGATGATGTGCAGGTAGTTTGGGTGTAGATAACATAAGCCACTGGAGTCGCCCGGTCACGCGTTCGCTTCTGAATGCGACTGGGGAAATACAAATGAGTAACAAGTATCAATAGAGCTAATCGGTCATTTGGTATCCTACTAGTTGTGTGAGAGACTGTAGGACATGTAGCTAATGCAAAATTTCTTCAAGAAATTAAGAAGCACTTTCATAATCACGAGCAAGACACTGGAACAAATGCTCAAAATTTCCAGCGACATGGTTGCTCCAACCTGTCAGTTAAAGCGAACTTCAGCTATTCCACAGGAAGATGCACTGGTGCAGAGCCACTAGACGCATCACTGGCCTACTAATCACAAGCCCACCAGTTTCCAAACGCATATATATACATATAAAGTGTTATTTAACGACGTTTATTGACTTGTTGCTTTCACCTACAGTGCTCGCCTTGCGCCCCCGCGTCCAAAGCGAAACCTTGACCAGATAACCGAAGGTGGCGGCATGTAAGTTTACGCAGTTATCTAACCATAGTGGAACAGGTGACATCCTTTTTCTATATCCTGGTGTATAACAGAAAATAAGCGTGCGCAAATACCAAATCTTTTTTTTAAAAATTGTAATTTTCATGGGGTTTTTAAATGGCAAGTGTCGTCGAGCAACCACAATCGTTTATTTTCTATTTAGCTGAAGACTCCACTTGTCTACTCAATCCTTAGTATTTCCTAAATGGTCTACAGCAGATGCAGTAGAGTAAAAGTGTATTTTTAGAATAATTTGGTATATACTGCGACTATTCAGCTAAGGTCCCTATGTTTACACACGTCTGTATCTCAACATTCGATTAAACGCTTTTGCTAAAACGGGGATTAGTACCCCTGCTATCCTTCACTCTGAATGCTGTATCTGAGGTAGTTTGTCTGAGAGTTCATGAACCGCAGTTATGTAGCAGTCAACGCTGGTTTTCATTAAACCCTTTTATCTAATTGGAGTGAGAATGACAGTAGCAATGCGTAACCAACAATTGCACAGCAATTATCATCACTCCTTACCACTGGAGCGGGAACATGAGACCATGATGCCTTGTCCCCCCAGTTATTTTATCATCAGTATTTCATTTCTTGTCTTCCCCACCCAAATCTACTACATGTTTTGTTTTCAGGATTAATGGACCACTGGGGTCCGCAGTATCCACTCTGATTATTCCAGAATCGCATCATGAATCCGATGACGCTGATGATGACCAGTTTGTAGTCGAGGAAACCATCCGCGATAGGTGTAATTTGGGACCATTCACCTTTCCCGTGGACGAGGAAGATAAAGGAGATCACGGTAAGTGACTCAGAGTAGCATTTTTTGATCAGCTCTGTCAACTTAATTAATGGGAGCTTCGCGAAACTCGTAATATGATGTATACTGCATCAGGTTTGCAACGTCTTAAGCAAGGATGATTGATCTATAGATTTAGACGCTCTTGTAGCATCTCAGTTCAAGGCAGACAGCTTGCAGATGCATAACGACGACGATGAATAGTCAAAGGTACTAGTGTGATTTCCCCCCTTGCGTGCCATCGTAAAACATCACAACCAGTAGGAGTTCAGCCTATTTCTTTTAGCTATGTCAGACTTTTCTCAAAATAATTTGACGCTTGTGTAAGTCGACTATTTCCCCGTTGCCGCCCTAGATGGCCTCTTCATTTTTGAGACAGAATAGCCTCCGCATAATGTATGACTGGATATCTTAAAGCAGATTGAATTGTCCTTATGGTGAGCAGGGGAGTGTAGCTATTGTAGCTTTGGCAAATTCGTCTTCTACCCCGTCAAAAGACAATAAATTATTGTTAACTGTCGTTGGCAAATATATTTGGCACTATACCCGTAACACAATTTGTTCATTCACTTCACTTTCTTGGTTAACTCTTATCGGCACTGACCTTGGTATTTTCAAACCCCTGCCTTTGTACCTAAAACCTAACACATTCAAACGGTCTTGAACCATTCCAAAGATAATTATTGTTATATTACATTCCTTTCTTACCATTTGTCTACACAATCCTAAATGAACAACTCCAAGGGACAAAAGCCTCGCATAATTGTTGTCTCTCTGGGTTACGGTGTGACCTCAGATCCGATTCATTTAGCCAGATTATTGCAAAAGCTGTGCTGTGTGCATGCCTTGGGTAAGCAGGGCTTGACTGCTCTCTCTTAGTATTCTTTTCATTTTCGCCTCTCCGAACCCTTCGGTTGGACATGGAAAGAAAGTGTCACTTCTTCCTCAAAAATGTGGGCGCATTTGCTTGCGTAAATCCTGTGGAGATCACAGGCGAACTCAACGGCAAATGTGTTGTACTTCTAAGCAAAACTGTTTCCTCAACTGCTATTCTTCTCAAGCCTACTAGGGTTGTCCAGCGCCGATGGCGCGGAAGATCTTGACGACAATAACCACTCCGTTTCAAGCAAGAATTTAACACGTCGAAGTCAGTTTTTACTTGCTAGCTTTTTACCTGCTCATTCCTGAGCCCCGAATAACCAGTTGCGCCTTGGATCAGCTTCCGAGAAGTAGACAAAAATTGCATCAAAGGAAGTAAACTTTCACAACATTTAGCACCGCTTGAAATTTTGGAGTCTGATACATAAATCCACATGGAGCGAACTAGTTGGAGTTCGTGCCCATGCTGTCTTTACCGCAGCCTGTGAGTTTGTAATATTGATAAAGATAATGTTGTGTGTTTTTTAATAAGCCAGACACAGTTTTCGCAAGCAGATTGGAGTAGTGTATGCTTTCTAAAGCGCAATATCATCTGATGAAGTTCGTCGTAACTAGAGGAATACACACAACACCACAGCGCTTATCTCCTCACAACTGGGTACCTTAAGGTCAAGTAGGAATATATTCTCTGGAATCCTAGAGAGTTCGCCATAGATCCTTCATGGATTAGACCAGACATTCTCGACATTTATTCAACCGTGGCTCGCATTTTAATCTCCAATTTTCTCACGGCTCATCCACCTTTAACCACTACATTCTCAGCAATCCGCAACGCCTTACAGAAGTAAATCTGTGGTTTCCAGGGAGTCATAGTGTAGCAAGAACCACGCGGCAGTGAAACACATTCTTTATTGTCGCAAGCACAAGCTATGTTATCCCTCACGCAGGAGTACATTAAGGAGTCACTTTTCCTTCTTACGACGCGCCATCTCTCCCGGCTTCCGCTCGCAGCACGTCCATGCACTTTGGGGACCTCGTGGTGGCGTATTCCATGCCCATCTCACCCCCGTATATTTTTGCCTCTTTGCGTCCCATTCTGATAGGTCCGGAGTCGTTCAAGCTATTGTGATTTGCTTGAACGTGACCGTAGCACTGGCGGGACCAGTCCGGGAAGGAGTCACATGGACTCCAGCCCGGAAGGCGAGACGGACCAACGGCACCCAGTTTGGTCGTCAATAACTTCATTTCCCGCTGCCAAGTCAACTTCTGTCCACCTCGAGCCTTGCGCCACCCAACACCTGATAGACGGAACAAGGCCCTCCTAGGTAAGCGGTGACCAAGCATATGTAACACTTGTCAGAGCCAAAGCAACTTATTCAGTGCTATCTGTTTTTCTAGGGAGCTCGCGTGATTCTCACTACCTAGTACTCGCCTACGCACATCATCGTTGCGGACATGCTGGCGCCATCCGACTCCAGCAATGCTTCGCAGACAACGATAATCAAATACTTGAAGGCGCCTCAGATCTTCAGACTGAAGGGGCCAAGTCTCGCTATCATAGAGCAGAACGGCCCTCACTGTGGTCTTTTATACACGGCCTTTCAGATGGAGGGAAACTCCCTTCTGTCGCCAAAGATGCCGCATGTTCAAGAAGGCAGCTCCGGCTCTTTTTGCAATGCGTGAGCTGACGTCAGTTTCTATGCGCCCATCATTGTTGATGCAGCTGCCAAGATAAATGAATTGATCAACCACCTCGAATTTCTCGTTAACAAGCGTCAAGGGGTCATAAAGTGGCGGTGGTCCTGCAGCAACGCTTTACACTTTGAGGGTGCCAAGTGCATACCATATAATTGGACCACTCTAGACAGACTATTCAGGGTTGATTGTGCCGCCGCAACAACGTCGAAAAGCAAGAGGATATCGTCCGCACAATCAAGCTCAACTAATTTTACACCAGACGGCACTTTAACGCCTACATGGTGAGATTCCGCAAGGGAACACTCCATGATAGAATCCACGACGAACTTCAGCAGAAATGGGGAAATCGGACAACCTTGACGCACGCCACTTGTAGTCGCAAAGCTATCCGATTGACTACCATAGACCCTGAAGCGGCCTGTAGTGTTCGAGTATAGAGCACGAAGGATGTTCACATATTTCGTGGGAACACCTTTCCGCGCAAGTATATCGAACAGAATCGATCGATCGACTAAATCGAACGCACTTTTAAAATCGAGGCAAACAGGTATTGTCGGTCTCCATCGCAATGAGGCTGGACCTTACCGTTTTGCGATGGTTTGTGCACTTCAGCGATCCATTGAGCCATGCTTTTGCACCTTCAGAGTCACTCATACCAGATTGGTCAATGGTTAGAGGCCAGTCAAACTCAGCCTCCTGGTCATCCAAGTTGGGGGTTGGAATGAGGGTGGTATCTTATTCCTTATAACGGACTCCTTGTAGCCCAGTGCCAAACCCGCTGCCTTGCGGTAAGGTTTTTGAACCAAAGGCTTTGGTTGAGAACAATAATCGTTCACCTGTCTAGGCCTGGGCAACGTGACAGTATCCTGCCCACGCAACACCATCAATCAATCGTCAACAATTGCTTGATGCTCCGGCCGTCGCAGAGGATAATCAACGGTGCCCTATCCGCTGCATCGAGAAGGGTGGATAGGGGTTTGGATGCTACTGCTCAAGCCTTCTCGTCTTCTTATTCCCCCACTTATGCGTTTTCACGTAACAACATCACTTATGTCCTCCCAGTTTTCAACCCCTGATTCTTGGCTCTCCCCTAACATGCTTTGCTAGGCATTTATCTCCTAAGTTCAGCTCACGTGCTAACGCGACTCGTCACTCCGCTCCTGCCTACAAGCCCATGTCCAACCAAGCGGCCAAACCCAGTTCATGGACTTCCATTTGGAGCCCTCGATCATCCTTTAGATTGGCACGCCTCAATGTACACACATTGATACAGATAGGTCAACAGGCAGCAGTTGCCCGAACAGTAAAGACCCTCTCGATCGATAGCTGCTGCTTATCGGGGACCAGCCTGCAAGACTCAAGCTCTGTGCTCACTTTGCGATCCCCTTCAAGTGACACCAGCAGCACTAGCTCATTGCGCCTATCCGGTGACGATTCAACCTCGAGCACCGGCCAAGTCGATATTGGTATTGTCCTGAGTCCCCAGGCTGAAGCTGTTCTGGTTGATTGGATTCCAATCAGTAGTCTGATGTGTGCGGTCCGATTAACTGACTCATTCAAAGTTTCAAAGTCGCGCAGAACTAACAGGTGTCTGTTCGTCATTGCTGCGCATGCAACCACAAACTCTAGCCATGATTCGGTAAAAGACGACTTCTATCGCAGACTGAACGAACTCCTTCGCCACAGAAGGAGCTCGGACCCTGTTGTGCTGGCGGGGGATCTGAAGGCACAAGTTGGAAAGTTGTCCACTGATGAAATGCATCTGGATGGTCAACACGGTGTAGGCGCCCGTAATGATAACGGTTAGCGGTACTTCATTTGTGTGAAGATGCCCGCTTGCGAGCACTAATTTCTGGCACAGCACCCGCCGGAGGGTGACTTGGTGCCCTCCAGAATCGAACTAGCATTGGACGCAGATCAATCAGATTGCCATCAGTTACCGCTGGAGAAGCTGCATCCAGAACTGTCGCTCGATTTGGAGAGCATATGTGGACACCGATCATGCACTTGTATGTGCTGACAATTGCATGCGTTTTGGCGGACGACCACGACGACGCTGTGAGCACATTGACACCAGAAAACTGACAAAACCAGCTGTTCTGAATGCATATCGCAGAACGCTGACCTGCGAGTTGAGTAGGTGCTCACTGCAGACAATTGATGGTCACTGGTCACATGTTCGCCAGACCTTACTAGCAGCAAGCAAATCCTCATGTGGTATGTCTAATAGCCAACATGGATATTGGGTGTCTTCGCGGTCTCTGAAACTTATCGACGTTCGCCGGCATATTCCGGCTGGAAGCGAACACAGTGAAATTCGCAAAGACCTCCGCACAAATCTCCGTGCTAACCTGAAGAGAGACCGCGAATCTTGGTGTCTCATCGTGCGTCAGAGATGGATGTGGCCGCTGCCCATGCATCGTAAG